ACGAGGATTCTGAGATGTATGCTACCTCCATGGGGCTTAATAACGGGTGCCTATTTAAAAGCTCTTCCAGTGTTCTCCAGACTATTGAATGTTCATCATGTTATGTAACACTTGTAAATCGCATCTGTAGCTCTTGACTAAGTCCCATCGTAAGTTCACGTTGAGCAACACGCAGTCGTTGCTTGAAACAGCCGCGCTGTCCTTCGTTACGTTGGTCTGCCATCGTTTCGCGCTCCATGATGGGGTCCAAGAGGTGTGCGACGTCGAGAATGGAGCAAATCTCGACGCGCCACGTCTGGTAGTTGGTATCGGTAAGTCTTGCGTTCAACTGCACGTGTCCGCTCTGGTTCATGCACCGCGTGCATCTGTGGTCTCCAACCATGGGTTCGTCCGTAGCGGAGTCGGTCCCGGCCTCGGTCTGGACTGGCTGCGCTGCAGCCTCGGACGTTCTTGGGTTTCTTGGCGGCTCGCTCTGACGCGTGCTGGCGCCGGCGGTAAGTTCCTCTTTGCTTGGGTTTCCTCGGCGGGGCCCGTACGGCGTCGGCACTCGCTGCGGTTGTGCTCGAGCCGCTGAGAGTTCTTGAATGAGCTGCCTTTGTGGGCGTCGGGTGGATGCTTCCACTGGAATGTTCTGCACTTGCTGCTGATTGGTCAGTGTAGTCATAACGGTACCAAATTGGGCCAATAAGAGCTCGAGTTGTTGCTCAACTCGGGTTGATGACGCTTGTGACGTCGCATGTGCCTCGTCTGACGTTGTCTCGTCTGCTCTTGCAGGCAACTGCAACTCGTCGGACGCGCGCGAGCTCTGCGTACTCCGGACTGGGCTTCCAGCTCTCCTTCTTGGGCTCATAACCTGAGTGATGGTCGCTCCTCGGCTACGCCGAGTGGTGACCATTGTGATGAAGGAAGTAGTCGTAACAACAGTAAGTTGCAGGGACTGAAAGTCCAGCAGGGGAGAAAACCGAGTGCTGCTGCTTGCTCTTGACGGCGCAAGTTGTCGAGTGTGTAGCAGCACACGGAAAAACCCCGGTAACATATATTGGTAGGATTAGCAGTAGGATGGGGCTGGCGGCTCGCCAGCCAATGGTCCGTCGAAGTCCGGCTTCTGGACGCGAGCATCGCGTCCTGGAGGCACCTGAGCCTCAGGTTTGAGCTGGACGCAGTCCTGGCTCTTCCTCCACACTTCACACTCCACCTCGTCGATAAAAGTCACTTTCCAATTGGGCTTCTAGTGCTCAAGGCTTCTCTTGTTTCCTATTGCTCCTGCTTACTAACGTCGCTATGCTACTCGCTGTCGTGCTGCAGGGCAGCTCGAAATGCTGTTGGTCTAGCAAGCTTACTGTGCTGCCGATTCTGGCTGGACTCGCTACTACTACGTCTAATTAGGGACCATTGAAGCGCACCAGTAATCTGCGTTGAGAGGGTATCCACTCAGCTCAATATATTTCTGGCTCGGCTTTTTATTTCCTATTGCGATGAAGCATTGTGGTGCCTGGAAGTTGTGCACCTTGTTTGACTCACACTAATGCAATCCCATTCCGAAAGCCCGTTCAATAGTGCTACCTGAGTAAGACTTGCCAAGCATGTATCTGACGCGATGCAATCAATGCATGCTTGGTAAGTCTTACTCTGGTAGCCGCCTGAAGCTCAGATCTCGTCGATTTTCCCAGACAACTACAACCACTGCAGGTTATGGTGCTCTTTGTTTTTCTTCTTGTCCAGCTTTCTGCTCAGTCTGGAATCCAAAGTAACTGTTTAAAACAGGGTCGATCAGCCTTCGTCAAATTGAACAGCTTGAGTTTACTAGGTGTCACGGAACTAAACCGTTCCGTGAAAGCTTAAGCAGTTGCGAAACTACCCGGTAAGAGATATAGAAACGACTTCACAAAAAGACAGAAACCACTACAGCGACTCTTGGTAGCACGCGACCCTCGAGAGTCGACGGAAGACAAACTAAAACAAAATACACTTTGAGTTATTCCATCTACTACGCAAGTCCTCGCCAACAACGTCTACAATCTTATTCTGGCCAGGTCGGAGTCCCCTCAAAGTCCCCCGCTCGATTTCAACTCTACGCTTCCACCTACCTCTTTGTGGTGTCCCGAGACGTAGGTCTCATTCGGACGGGAATCCACCATATGTGCAACATAGTAGACCTTGAAGTAGGAGTCAACAAAATGAGCGACGTCGGCAGTGAACTCGACGTAGCGGGAGACACTCGCTCACTTGACGCCGAAGAGATAGATCGACTTCGGCTGGTCTTGTCAAATCTAGAAGCGCTGTAGTGTTTGTGAACAAACACTACACACGCTGACACGAGACCAAACAAGTCTGACCGAAGCTGTTGCGGTATTCGCTACGCGAACCGATCGGCGACAGAGCCAGAACATGGAACAGATTAAGGCAAAGCAGGCCTTGCTTCATGAGGTGATTAACCAGATCCAGAGTTTTGCTGATGAAGAAATGGCCAAGCAAAAAACCGACTTGGCCTCGCTAGGAAGAGAAATGGATGCACTACGACAAGGCATTCAAATGCAAAAACCCACCTCGCAGAACGTCGACCAATCAGTTAGCAGCCACGGGTACAGGAACGAAGAAGAACTATATGTAGAGTGGGATGTTGTGGGATCAAGTCCGCCCAACGCACCCAGTTTCACCAATCTGGAGCTAAAAAGTCGAGTATCAATGTACTTGAAGCAAAAGGAAACACCGGTGTATGGTGGTACTGAAGACGACGACATCGACGTGTACGTGCTCAACATGATATCGTGGTACGCAGCATACGGTCTTTACTTGAGTCAAGATCAAGTCGATTGGCGTGTTGGTGAGCTCACGTAAAACCATACAAAAGGAACCGCAACGAAGTGGCTCTGCAAGACTATAAGGGCGAACGACGCTGGAATCATATTGTGAAAAAAATGAAGCAGCGATTTGTGACCCGATCCCGAGAAGAAGACCTTGTTGTGAGCTTCTTCGATTGCAACCAAGGAAGTATTTTTTTGGATACATATATCGACAAATTTCAGCGTCTGAGTCGCAGCAATGATGTATCCGAAAAGTACAAGATGATTAAATTCAAGAAGGGCCTGCGCTCGAACCAGTTAAGGGAACTATTTAAGACCCAGATACACGAGTCATTGGACGAACTGTTCGATGTGGCCCGATAATTAACCCTCGCGATGTACCAGCTGAAAAACCGACTGGAAGCCAGAACCTTTATCCGGGTTCAAACAAAAAAGCTGGTGCTTTCAAAAACAAGAGCAATGAGCTCGGTAAATGTAGCTCGTATCGGTGTCTCGAGAAGGGACATACAGAAGACAAGTGTTGGATGCTGCATCCGGAGCTGCGTCCGGCATGGTTTAAAGATAGAGGAGGAAAGCGACTCGGAGCTGCATCAGCAGTGGTCGCACATTGTATCTCGGCTACGACAAGCGACAACGACAAAATGTGGGAAGTGTTAAGTGCTATTCAGATAGACCTTGCCAAGATCAAGTCTGATTTAAACTAACGGGTCTTGAAGATGGCGTCTCAAGACCGAACATAGCCAGCACCAATGCCCAGAATCGCGTCTTTGATCCTGGCACAAAGGCAAATTACATGTACTTCCAGTCTGGAAACGGAGAAAAGAAGTTAGCACCTGAACGCTATCTAATCAAGACGGTACGCTGCGAGAAAGATACGATATCCGCGGCAGCACGAGCATTTTTTGATAAGGGAGCTGATTTTTGTGGAGTTTCAGAGGAATTCGTGGAGCAGCAGGGCTGGATGAAGGGGGTTGTCGATCATGGCGCAATGCAAGTAACTTATGATAACGGGAAGACCGTCAGTTAACCATTCAGCTAACTGTCTTTGTGGAAGAATTGCCAGCGTTTAAGTTCGCGTTTTACCTGTGTCATATCCCAAATCAGTGTGACGTCATGCTTGGAGTGCCATGGAAGCGACTTGCAAGACCCATTATCGACTGGGAAACTGATCGAATACTCTCTAAAGAAGCATTCATACAAGAGGTAACAGCAGGGACTGCTGCATGGACAACACCAAAGGCTCCAGGTCCACCAACGACCTGATTGCCGGAAAAGCGATACTACTATAGCATACGCTTTGGATTCACAAAACATATTACGCTGAAACAGGCGGACAAAATCATCCGAAAACAAGATGTCGAGTTAGTTGCAATCATTCGGAGGAGACCATCAACGCGCTGTACATGGAGATATTAAAAGAAGACGGCAAGGAAGCGGTGACAGTAAAGTTCGCAACATACTCGTCAGGTCATGACAGATCGGGAAAGATTTAAAGACACACCCGGCTACCCGCTCGTGTGCAAGTTTGCTGAATACCAATTTCAGCGCTCCAAAAGCCTTGATACATTCTCCTGTCCACCTTAACTCCTTCTAGCCCTTGTGCTTAACCATTTCGAACAGAGGAGCACTGATTTCCTGAGAAATTCTTACAGAATCTTTGAACGTAGACAGTGGTCCAATTGCAAGTTTCGTATAGTTTTTAGGAGTGGCCAGTCCCGCACGACTCGAACTTTGTCCGGATCGATGCGTACACCCTGCCGCCCGACAAAATCTCCAAGACAGAGAATTTCTGCTGTGCAAATAGTAGATTTTGATATCTTGAGGAAGATCGTCTTCTCGCGACATCTCTCGAACACACGTCAGACCGCAGCTAAGGGAGCTTTGACATCAGTCTCCTTAGTGAAAACGTAGATATCATCAAAATAAGTGGCGACGTTATCTCGCAAGTCCTCGAAAATCCTCGGTACGATACGATTGAATGTTGCCGGCGCGTTACTGAGGCCCATGGGACAGCTACGTATTCGAACAGTCCATCCGGGGTCTGGAACGCCGTGAACGGTATATCCTTGGTCCTCAACCTGATCTGATAGTACCCCGAGAGTAAGTCGAAGCAGCTGTACCAGTATGACCCACTCATTCGGTCGAAAATCGCGTCCTTCCATGGCATGGGTGTTGATTGCCGAATTGTTCTGGCATTCATCGCTCTGTAATCGTTTACCACGCGCCACCCTACTGGCTTTTTAATGCAAAAAGTCGGTGTCCCGTGTTGCGATATGCTTGGTCGGATTAAACCAGCACGAAGCATTCCCTTCACCCACTCGCGTAGAGCTCGCTCTTGATCTGGACCGAGTCGCCACTGTGGCTTGTATACGGCACCTGTGCCTGGCATAATTTTCATTTCGTGTTCGCCATGGGTGGGGGCCCTGGTGGCAATACCGTCCTGAAAATATGACTGACACGCCCGTGCGCGCGTTACCAGATTTCTCTAAGCCCTTCTTGCTACGCACAGATGTATCTCAGTTTGCAGTTGGGGGTGTACTACTACAGCACACACAATCTTGCGATGGAACATCACGAGAGGAGAAACCAATTGCGTATTGCGGAAGGAAGATGAACTCAGCTGAGCTAAACTACCCGACGCATGAACAAGAGATGCTAGCGATAATTCATTGTCTGAAGATCTGGCGCGTCTATCTGCTTGACGAAGGTTGCACAGTAGAAATAGACCACCACTCACTGGAGCGAGTACTCACGCAGAAAACAATTAACCGACGCATTTGTCGGTGGTATGACCTGCTTGCGGAGTTTCAGCTTCGGTTTCGACATATTCGAGGAGAAACTAATACCGTAGCCGACGCACTAAGTAGGCGAGCTGATTTCGAGATTGATTTCCTGGAACAAAAGCAGAAACAAGTTTTCGCTGCTCGTCGACTTAAAGCGACAACACTAGTAACACTGATCCGCCGGGCACAACGACGGGCCGGCCTGACCAAAGCATTTTCGCTCAGAAGGAAATCTAGGACACTGGAGACTTCGTATACGACGAGGGCGACGGTATTGTCCTGTATCGAGTGCAAGATCAACTGAAAATCTACATTCCAGCTAAGGATGTCGAGATATAGAACACAATACTTTGGAAACTTCACGACATCATTGTATATGGCCACCCAGGAATCGATAAAACACGGCAAGCAGTGGCAGAACGGTTTTATTGGAAAAAAAATGGCAGACGCGAGTGAAAGACTACGTGGCAACATGCGAATCCTGTCAGCGAAACAAATCCCGTATGGGAAAGACTCCAGGACTGCTACATCCGTTAGAAGTGCCAACGGCAAGACGGTCTTCAATCGGAATCGATTTCATGACGGGTCTGCCGGCGACAGGCGCCGAAAACGATGCGATCATGGTAATCGCAGATCGATTGACAAAACGCGCACATTTCATCACGACAACAGGAAGGATCTCGGCTGAGTTGCTGGCAAAACTGTTTATCGATCACTATGTGCGCTTACATGGGCTACCTGTTGATATAACGACAGATCGAGACTCAAAATTCACATCAAAATTCTGGGGCCAGTGCGCAAAGTTATTGGGGACCAAACTCAATATCGAAACAGCACATCACCAGCGGCCGACGGTCAAGTAGAGAGGACAAACGCAATCCTTGCAACTTATCTCAGACACTACGTGAGTGGGTTCCAAAATGACTGGGATGACTACTTGGCGCTGGCGGAGTTTGCCTACAACCGACAGTACCAGGCGACTATAGGTATGTGGCCATTCTATGCTGATATTGGCTACAGCCCACGAGTACCCGCCGATCTACAGATTATGAACCTGGAAACACCTCGGCAGTGACGTTTATACAGAAACAGGAACAACTTCTGCGGGAGCTCCAAGCAAACGTCCGAATCGCGGCAGAAATAATGAAGCTTCTATATGATCGAGGTCGTCGGGATCAACAATTTTAAGAAGGTGAAATGGTATTGATATCGACTAAGAATTTCAACCCAGCTGTAGTTGGAGCAGTGAGAAGGAATTTTGCAGCGAAACGGATCGGTCCGTATGAGATAATTAAGGTCCTACACGATGGAGCATCATATGAGGTCAACCTTCCACCAGAATTGAAGATACACTCAGTTTTTCACACAATGGTACTGAAGAAATTTAGGAAGGATACCACTGCAGTCCAGCGTGATAGTACGATCCCCACCGTCCGGCTCAAAGACGGTTCAGAGGGTCATTTAATCGAGACTATCCTCGACCATCGAATCTCCGGAGACGGCGGGGAGCAGTACAAGTGCAAGTGGGTGGGTCAATGAGGGAACCAACCGCAAATTTGATGTCAGTACCCGGCCTTATTAGGGAATATCATCGACGAGCAAATGGCCTGCCAACGCGACCATCCAAACGACTACAAGCAAAGCATCACAGCGCGGCTAATGCAGTCCATGTAGTTCGTCAATATGTAACTTGTATGAAGTTCTGTCCGGCGGAGGTCGCGTCACGGAACTAAACCGTTCCATGAAAGCTTAAGCATTTGCGAAACTATCCGGTAAGAGATATAGCAATGACTTTGCAAAAAGACAGAAACCACTACAGCGACTCTTGGTAGCAAGTGACCCTCGAGAGTCGACGGAAGACAAGCTAAAACAAAATACACTTTGGATTATTCCATCTACTACGCAAGTCCTCGCCAACAACGTCTACAAGCTCATTCTCGCCAGATCGGAGTCCCCTCAAAGTCCCCCGCCCGATTTCAACTCTACGCTTCCTCCTACCGCTTTGTGGTGTCCCGAGACGTAGGTCTCATTCGGACGGGAATCCACCATATTTGCAACACTAGAAATCTCAGGATGTGTACGATATTTTTGCTATCTTTAATTTTTTTATCCAGCTTTTCCTCTATCATACAGCTATGTTCTCCTTTGTGATATTACTTAGTTACATTTATATATATACACGACCAGCCCCATCTTCAAGTTCTGGGAAAGCGGCAGTGTGCTGCTGAGACAGCCCCAAACAGATTCAATCGGAAGAAGCTGGTAACTGAAGCCGGTAGCTGAAGCCGGTACACTAATAATTTTTAAAATTCTTCGACAAGCTCAGAGGAGACTACTAGGCTCTTATTACACCCAACTAGCCGAGCGCTGGCGGTAGTTTAGGTTTTATTCTAGAATAATTATTCCAAAAGCTCTGAGCCCCTATGTGCCTAAATCGACTTCTTTAGTTTCATAAATCTGGATTTAATTTAGGCAAGTTGCTACAAAACTGCTGAGTAAGCCGTGCACATATTTCGACAAAAAACGGAGCCCTAGCATCATACTTACCATGCTTAAGAAAGACTACTCTAGTGCACTTGACATAGTCTCTTACTTATTGCTGGCTATCACTGTGCCTTCATCTTCCACCCAGGATCACCTGCACTTCAAATGGCGTGTGTGGTGTAGCGGGATCAGTAAAATTGGTGAAATTGCTGGATCCGACTTCCCACCAGTACCCAGACTCCGACTAACGGAGGGGGCCCCCGATGATCCGTGATCTGCCGAACTTTGCCCACCTTGTGTACCCGTCGCTAGAGCGGGATCTTGCTTCTTTGGTAGCTGCGGAGAAGTCCAAGTTGTGAAAGCTTGAGCGTCTTGGCGAGACGTGGGGATGGGGTGGAGTATCCGTGGTAAAATCTTCACTCTACGTCCGATGTAGGGTTCAGACCACAAGCGAGTCCTTCGAGCTAATACGATCTAGCGGTCTCGATCTGCGATCTGACCGTAGACATGCCTTGCAAGTGTGTTCCCTTGCCTTTGCGTTCTGTTTCGCCGTACTTGCTGCTTCCAATAGCGGGATCTTGAGAGTTGAGAGCCTCTTTGGTATACCCGGCAAGTAGTAAATCCGGTTAACATTACGGCTATGCACGTGTATGAGGAAATTTCACTAGGTGGTACGATCTGGCCAATATATTATCCAGTTATCAATACCAACACTAGGTCTGCAAGTATCAACCTTCACCGAGCTCGTACGGCCCGATTCGTGAGGGCACGAAGGCACTTACGTGCTACTGTTAAAATGTGTTCTGATTTGAAGTTAAGCCTACGCAAGCCTAGATCTATATCCTCTCCGTCCTTCACTCCCTAAATCTTCTGCCAGTTGGATGCCTTTGAGTTCTCGAATGGTTTTGAAATGACAAAAGTTGGTACTTTCGCAGTAATTGGCAAAAAAATAAAAGAGACACCTGTGTGTATTGAACTCAGGCGTTGGGTGTTTTGAACTGAGATTTGCCCGGTCCTATGTGCAAGTCGGCTCTGGGGTGGTTGTATCGAACTCCTGCGGTG